GTCGTGCTGTACGGCCCCTGGCACATTCAATCTTTATCCAACTCCGTTGTCCCTGTTTCGAAAACATCGTGACAACACTACATTAGACCGCCAGCTAACACGAGGCTCTGTTCTTCTCATCACTGCGCATGCGCGTGATGTGTGAAGGTAGAGCCCATTTGCTCTGAGGTAAGGTAGGTATGTAACTAACGTGTGGTATAAGCGACATTATTTGGTTCCGTTGCATGGCGTCTCTACAACAGTGTTGCCACTATTAAAGTCCCAACCCTCGTATATATTTTAATTACGCAGAAAAGAGATATTATAATAATCGAGAATCTATTGATTGCAGTTCCCTCACTCCCTGGCGATTCAGATAATATTAAATACAACTAAAGAATCTAATTTGTACACACAAAAAATATAAATTTCCCATTTTTAAATTCAAATTTTTTTTCTGAATATAAACATTTTTATCAAAATTTCTCTTCCTTATCGTCATACAGAACTTGTATCCTAATATCATGTAAGCTACTGCTGGACTGTGAGAAAAAAATTGATCATTTTTATGAAATGCAACTTGAAAATATTTAAAAATAGAATTATGTTATATAATTACAATTTCCCGCTAACTTAAACATGCTCTTCCTCCTCTTAGTCCGAATTAGTGAGGCTTTCTTTCTTTCTTTCTTTCTTTCTTTCTNTTCCCTCTCTCTCTCTCTCTCTCTCTCTATATATATATATATATGGTTCGCCAGCCCTTTGAACCTTTGTCGCTTTTTCAGTTTCTTAATCCTATACACAGTCGGTAGGACACTTTGGACGGGGGATCAGCCCGTAGCAAGGCCGCTACCTACAACCAGAACAACACAAACACAGAATAAACGCACACACAGACATCCATGCCTCGAGTGGGATTGGAACCCACGATCCCAGTGTTCGAGCGGGCGAGGACGGTTCATGCCTTGGACCGGCGGTCACTGTGATCGGCTAGCGAGGTTTTACTCTATATACACGTAATATACGCCTAATACATAGCTCGTGTATAAAATACTGATGTGATTAAAACAAATACTTCGTCTGCAACAAATCCTAATTAGCTGATACGCTAGTTTAGATTAGGTTCAGTGGGTTGGGTCATTACATTAGTTGCAGCTTCCTATTCATCTCCATGCTGAAGGAAGGAGCAGCGTCCCTCGAAACGTTAGCAAACATTTGTCATTTCGATAGAGTGCCATTTCCTAAAGATTACAAATACAAGGAATATGCACCACTGACAAAGTCCATAGCCGCATATGGGATTAGGGCGATTTCATTTATTGCGCCTTATGGTATGTTCGTGTTGGAGCCAGTAACACAAAAATAACAAATTTTGCGAGAAGTTT